AACCTGTAAACCCCAAACCCTAAACCCCTAAACCCGTAAACCCTACACCCCTAACCCCCAAACCCTAAACCCTAAACCCTAATTTAGAGAACTACCCACATGCAAGCCCCGGAGATTCCCAAAGCTGCAACTCCTGAGCCCCGCAGCCCAGAGAGACCATAAACCCTAAATCCCTAAACCCTAAACCCTAAACTCAACCCCAAACCCCAATCTCCGGCCATCCAAGGTTGGAACTGGCAAGCTGACTGTCACAGGCCGGGACCGAGGGCGAGCCGCAAGGCATTTTACTTCGTAGGTTTTGGGGTTTAGGATTGGGTTTCGGGGTGGATTTGTACATACTTTTGGTCACAGACAGCCTGAGACAATAGGTCTTTATAGGATCCTTCTTGAACTTGGCGTGGGGGTCAGGTTGTTCTACTAGTACGTTGTAGTACCCTTCTTGTGTCCTGAATGACAGCCTTAAATCGAACCCTACACCCTAAACCCATACACCCTAAACGGTGTGTAGAAGATGTATAAATCAAGGAATGGAAACCATACCTGGACCTCTCATCTACACCCTGTTAGACTCTAAAAGTCCCACTGTCTTAGACCATCTACCCCTATTTGAGGGTACAGGGAGGGTCCTGGTATTAAGCCCTAAACCATAAGCCCCGCCAGAGGTTTTCGGACTGTAGGTTTTCGGAATTTCCAGAGATTGGGAATGTCGAGTTTAGGGTCTGCAGGAGGTTGATGGTTCAGATGTACGGGCTTGGGTTTAGGGTTTAGGGTTTTAGAACCCTAAACCCTAAACGCTAACCGCTAAACCCGCGTTTAGTGTTTGGGGGTTCAGGGGTTTTGGGGCTGCCCATCCCAGCAACCTTGCAGTGCCTCTTGGGTTGTGCCCTGTCCATATGTATGTTAGTATGTCCATCTCGGAAGGGTGTAGCCGGAAACCCAATAATTACCAATGCTATTTTGGGGGCTCCTTACTATAACTATAGTATGATGGGCACCAAAACCCTATTCTGACTATTAAAGGCCCCTACATTAGGGGGAAACCGTCTACCCTAAACCCTAAACCCTAAACCCTAAACCCTAAACCCGAATCTTAGAGCCCTGAGCGAAACATAGCTTTGAATCGACACCGCGGTGGCCCTTGAGGTCAGCTCGGGAAGGTCATGACGGAAAGTGCTAGGGGCCTCAGTGGTTACCCATAGGCCCCATGCTGTTGATGGACAAAATCCTGCATGACCTTATATATACCTAAATTATGGGATTTATGGTACTATACTATATTTGGGACATGCAGGATTTTGTCCATCAACAGTAGTAGTTCCCTTTTGGGATTACCAAATAGGATCCTAAATACAAGCCACAAGAAGGAACTACTATGGGGCCTTTGGGTATGCATGGAAATACTGAGAGTCATAGTTATGTTATATACTTGGTTTAGCGCCGTATTCTTATCATCTAATGCTTATCAAAAAGCTTACTTGAAAAGTCGCCGTCTCAAAAGGGGTTTAGGGTCCAGGATATGCGCGATTTGAGGATCCTGTGCTGGATCAATTTTGCGAGTTTTAGGCTTAAGGGTTGAATGGTTTGGGGGTTTACGGCTTCGGCGGCAGGAACTTGTTTGAGCCAGAGGTTCTGGGGCACCGCAAACGCTAAGCCCCAACAGTGGTGGGTGTTGTCAGATCGTTTTCCTGACAGGTTTGGGATTTGAGCTTCTCCTTGATATGGGAGACTACCTAGTTGTCAAGGACATTTTCAGGTGGGTAGTTACCGTTATAGGGGCCTTATAGAAAGTCCATATACCTTATAGAAGCCCTTTATACCCTAAACTCCCCACCTGTAGTTTCCCTCAATAGTTGAGGTTAACGGTTCTAGATTGTGGCTCATGCAAGCTTTCGTCCCTGTTGTGCCCACAACCTTGGGGCGGAATCTTTGAAGTTTTCGAGACAGATCGACCGATGCTCAGAAACGAGTGTAATGTAATGTTTACACGGCTTGCCATCAGGCAGTATAGGGGCCTGAACACTTGCCAATACTATTGCTCCGATTTCTGCAATGGGATTATGCTGTACTAAAGACTACACTTGACTATACCCTGAAGCCCCATAGAAATTATTGAGGCCTTATAGTAGCTATCTTCAACTACCTCTTTACGGGAACCCTTTAAACAGCCCTTACAGGAAGCCCTATGATAAGTATTGAGACCTGTATATTGACATTTGACATGTGGCCTCTCTATATGATGTGTGTTTAGCGGTAGCCTGGTGCTCAGAGAGACCCCGAAGCTGTAGCTTTGGAGGCCCACGGCTGAGTTTGTGAATTCGTAGCATTTGGGGGGCTGGCGGTTTAGGGTTGAGGAGTTTAGCCTCTCCCACCCTAAACCCTAAACCCTAAAACGCTGTCCAAGCTTGAGGTGGAAACGGCTCTGTCGCTTCTCCGGGGCCGCTTCGTTCGGTATTGCCAAAGTCGGTGCCTCTGTTTGGAGCCGTTTGAGATTGGAGGCTCAGGCTTTGGGTTTAGGGTTTAGGCTTTAGGGTTACCTGTAGTCTCCGTTGTAGTCCTTTTTTCTTGGTTAAACCAAATTTAAGTTTAGGATTCTAATAAGAGAACCCGCAAAAGGAAGCACAATGGATACTATAGGTAGGTTGAACGTCATCCACTTGGTTCTTTCAGGATTGTAGGCGTCGTTGGGTTCTACCCTGTAATTCAGGGGTCATAACCTACTATTTTTTGTAGGGTTCGGGGTCACAGGTATAGAACCCTAAACCCTAAACCCTAAACCCTAAACCGTAGTATAGGGTTTAGAACTGAGGCTTTCGTAGGGGCTTGTGGGTTGGAAGTCTGGGGGTCGGGGATTTCGAGCTCGACGGCTGTGGCGTAACTTAGTAATGGGGGTGTTGTTGTAGGGTTGGGGGTTGGGTTTAGGGTTTAGGGTTTAGGGTTGTATGGTGCGGGGTTGGGGAGTTTCTTTTGTCTAGGGTCTTCTTGGCCGGCACAAGAGCATAGAACGGTTTCGCCAAAGGGGGGGGGACAGGCCCTGTGCATCACATCGCAGTCGTGGTATTGGGAGATGATTGCAAGTTTGCCTCTGCAGGGTGACAGCGCACCCTAAGGGTCCATGTACCCAAATAGTAGATACTTAGGCCTTAGAGTAGTCCCTATTTAGGTCCTTTAGTGCCAAAGTATATGCTATTTGGGTACATGGACCCTTAGGGGCATCTGAAAATGCAGGCGAGCGACAGCTTCGAGAGTTTAGGGTACTAAAGCGTTGCATTTAAACCCCAAAGGGTGCAAGTACCATAATAGTAGGTACTTAGTAGGTATTTGGGCCCCAAAAGTATATACTATACTAGTACTTGGACCCTTTGGGAACCATGCCCTGACAATCACGTCGCACGACCCCCGACATGCCTGCCCCTCGCATGAACGCTACAGGCCTTCCTGGCATGCAGCTATTTTTGCTCCATCCTTGGCCCTAAACCCTAAACCCTAAACCCTAAACCCTTGGCGCCTTGGCACTGCGCATCACCCATGAGCCTTCCTCTCGCGGAGTTGAGCGACGTGAAGGCCTTAAGCAGCGCTTGAATGGTTTAGGGTTTAGGGTTTAGGGTCCGCTTCAGGCAAAGAATCAGCAACACGGGGTTTAGGGTTTAGGGTTGGTTGCAACACTTTTTGGGTGATGCCGTCAGGTTGGAAACAGCGATGGATCTGCAGATCTTGACAGTGGCGTTCCACGGGATCTCGGCGGACCAGCCTTTTGGGCTATGTTAGGGTGTAGGTTTAGGGCAGGGCACGGTAGTGACAACAAACCGAGCACTGACGTCTCCAGACATGCTCCATAGGCCCTGCCAACATCCCTGTGTGATTAAGGGTATATACCTTAAACTATATAAGGATATGGATATCTATTGTAGAAGTTCAAATTAAAGTTGGAAACCCAATAGCCTCAATCCCTAAGCCTAAGACTAATGCATAGGGCATCCCAGCACTCATTCCTGAATCCGGTTTCCAACTTTGTGGGGTTTACTATCATATGGGTAGTTGTCAAAATTATGGTCCTATTTGGGGTACCCTAAATAATAGGTGCCGTATTATAATAAGGACCCAAAAAGGGACCCTAATTTTGACAACCACCCATATGGGTTAAGGCATATATTCCTTAACCAAGGGATCTTTGGAAGGTCTGGGTCTGTCCCCAAAGCCTCCCAAAGCTAGCTTCCCAATGCGTTCTAGTGCTAGTAGGCTGTACCCCGAATCTTTCACTCATAAAGCCTACCTATAGTCTCCATTGTAGTTCCTTTCTTGGTTACACCAACCTTTTTTAGAATTCTATATATATATATATATAAGGGAACCCCCAAAAGGAACTGCAATGGAGACTGTAGGTAGCCTTGTAGATCCTGAGAAGCAAGCCCCAGTTTTCTCAAGCGCTCAGGTTGCAGCTTCCCATGGACCCGGACACTAAAGATCCTGGGTTCTGCCGCGATGCGACATTAATGTGGGCTTCTTTGCACGGCCACGTGGATGTGGCACAGTTGCTCTTATAGGCCGGTGCTCAGCTGGATCAAACGGACTATCTAGGCCTGACAGCCCTTGTGCATCTGACCCCGGCCATGTGGATGTCACAGAGTTGTTGCTCGAGGCCGGCGCGAAGAATTATTTGCAAGATACTCGTGGCCGTACACTACTGGAGCTTGCAGCAGAGAAATAGGCTCCATTCAAACCGGTGCTCAAGGGGATCTGAGCGACTTGAGCGGCGAGACAGCACAGACGACTGCAAAGGGAATCGAAGTTCGTTGCTTGCAACGAACTTCGATTCCCTTGTTCAGTCGTCTGTGCGGTCGGCGCCCCTCAAGTCGCTGATCTCCCTCGGGATCCCCTTGAGGGGCCAGTTCTTCAACTTCTACACAATGTGAGGCAACGGCTGTAGAGCGCTGAACAAAGCCTTAAACTGCGAGGACTCTGTGAAGCCTGGCCTTTGAGTGGGCTGCGGCTGCGGGGGTTGAAAGGAGGCCCCCGAACTCCGTTGAAGTAGAATCCTGAATCGCTACCAACGGGTTTAGGGTTTGGGGCTTAGGTTGAGGGTTCCTGACTATAATATACTACAAAGGAACGCAGCTAATTCTATAGTTATGAGACTAGGCTGTCGACGAGACTCTCAGTGTCTTGGCAAGCCCTACTCAGGCCAACCCCATGATATGTCACGAACTGGCTTGTGCATGGGCAACAACCAGCTGCGCAGCTTTTTCATGCTGGTCCAATTCTTATGGACCTAGTACTCAGACACCCGAATGCGCGAACCCAGTTATTGCTCTTACTACCCTGGCCCTAAATCCTAAACCCTAAACCCTAAACTACGGACCTATATAAATACTTCCCGAATATTAGCAAGTAGCTAAGTGGCACAAGCCCTGCGAGGCTTCGGCAACACCTCTCATCCCTGAGCCCACCACCCCAGACGGCTTTGGGTTTTGGGTTGATGGCTTTGTTTGGTAGCATGGCTGTAATTCCTAAAATAGCCCACCTGAGCTCCAAGTCAAGCCCTGTCCTCAAACTCCAAGCCCAACTCCTAAACCCTGCATCCTCACTTCTAAATAAGAAACACAGCCCGTCAGAAGCCTGACCTAAACACCCCCCTCTCAAGAAGGAACAACAACACAAGACAAGGAAGCCTACACCCTGAAATGCTCGCCCTTCCCTGCCCTGCCCTGCTGCCCCTGCCCTGCCCTGTCCTGTGCCGCCCTGCCCTGCTGTGCCTAGCCTGCTTGTCTGGCAGAAGGAAGGGAACGCGGTTTTTTGCATGAGTTGAGGCCTAAACGCAAAAGGAATGTTGGCTGCCAGTGGCTGCCTAAGACTGACAAGGCAACCTTGTATAGACAAGCTTTCACAGCTCATCGCCATAGTACGATCCCGACGCACTATTCCACAGCAATGCCTGAACCCAAACCCTAAACCCCCAAAGACTTAAACCAGACCCCCTCTCAAGAAAAAACAAAAAAGCAAAAGACAAGGAACCCTAAACCCTAAACCCCAAGTGCATCAGAAGCAAGACCCGAAGCATCCCTTATAAAACCCTTACAAAGCTCTTCGAAAGCCCCTTATAGAATCTTATAGATCCCCTGTAGAGCCCTTACAGTAAGACCCCAAGCCCCAAACCCTAAAGGAACCTAAGGGAACCTAAAGGAACCCTTACAACTACCCCTAAAGGAACCCTTAAAGGTACCCCTTAAAGGAACCCTTAAAGGAACCCTTAAAGGTACCCCTTAAGGCTAAAGGAAACCTTAAAGGAATCTCAAAGGTGACCCTATGGAACCAACCCTTAAGCACGAAACCCTTAAATTAAAGGAACCCTAAACCCCAAACCCTAAGCCCCAAACCCCAAACCCCTAGACCCTAAACCCTAAACCCTAAACTCTAAACCCTAAACCCTAAACCCCAAACCCTAAACCCTAAACCCTAAACCTTAAACCCTAAACCCTAAACCCTAAAACCCCTTAAAAGGAGCCCCTAAAAGGACCCCAAGCGAACGCAGGCCCGGCCTCCACGGAGGTCTTCAGCTTTGAGACCCAAAGGTTGGCAGTTTTTTTTGTTTTTTGTCCGGTGGGTTTAGGGTTTTGTGGGGTTTAGGGTTTAGGGTTTAGGGTTTTGGGGTTTAGGGGGGTTTTGTTTAGGGTTTTGGGGTGTAGGGGTGTTATATAGGGTTTTGGGGTTTAGGGGTTTTATATAGGGTTTGGGGGTTTAGGGGTTTTAAACCTTGGGGTGTAGGGGGGTTTTAGGGTTTGGGGGTGTAGGGGGTTTGGGGTTTAGGGGTTTTAGGGTCTTGGGGTTTAGGGGGTTTAGGGCTTAAGGGTTTTAGGGTTTTGGGGCTTAGGGGTTTTAGAGGTTTTAGGGTTTTGGGGTTTTGGGGGTTTGGGGTTTAGGGGTTTTAGGGTCTTGGGGTTTAGGGGGTTGAGGCTTGTGGCGGTTTAGGGTTGAGGGCTTTTCAGGGTTTAGGGTTTGGGGTTTGCAATGGCTTGCAGTTCGGGCCTCAGCGTTGAAGCTTTCTACCTGGATGCTTGCTATGGGGTCAGGGTTTAATCAGATACAGTAGAGATTTGGTGTTCAACCGATTCATCTCAAGCATGTGCTAATATAGAGATCGGAATAATTTCCTGTAGGGTCCCTTATAGGGCTCCTCATACCTGTAGTCTTATAGGAGCCCCCAAAGCCTAATTCTCCCCATTATTTGCTGCTGAGCTCCTTGCGTTCTAAACTCTAGGAGCGACGGACTGACAGCTGAACCCTAAACCCTAAGCCTCAATCCCTAAACCCTAAACCCTAAACCGACCCTACACTAACCACCCAAAACCCTGAACCCTAAACCCTAAACCCTACAAAAATACCCCCCAAAACCCTGAAGCCGCCGAGCCGATAGCCGGCGGGGAGCTCTGAGCCCAAAGCCCCAACCCTGCAAAGCACCAACAGG